GAAAGGATATGCATGTGTGAATTCTGTACCCTAGAGGTGCACCGTATAAAACGGCAGTCACGAAGTCGTGGGACTTAGCGAAAACCAAATCTAAAGTAGATGGTATTTGGTTGTCCATATACCTAGTGTGGAAGCCCATGAACTGATGCAAAGGCACTTGGAGAATCAACTCATGAAAGTTTGCATCGAATGTTCCTGACGCCGAATTGCAAGAAAGATCAGCCCAACAGACTTCCGGGAGGTTGAATTCCCCTAGAACTAAACACTTATTCGCAGACTGAGTGCGAATAGTCAATTACCTTCCTGGAAGAATTTCCAAGACTCCTGTATATCACTACAACTGTAAACTGGGTAAAGAAAGTGCACAAAACAGCCGATAGAGCTTCAACCGCCTGAGCCGACGACTAGAATGTGCAAGTCCTCAACCCATCTAAGTTACAGCTCACATACAGTACAACATCTCCGTCTTTGCTACCAACGGAGCGATCAGTTCTAAGCAGCGCGTAGCCAGGTAAACATACCTCACCGTCCGTGATATCCAAGGACAATCACGTTTCAGTGAACGCAAGTAGGTCGGGACGACATTTGTATACAGGTAGACACAACTCGTGCACCTTGTTCCTTAGGCTATGCATGTTGCTAAGTAATACCTCAAGGAAGTCGGCAGGACCATCCCTGGGTTGTGCGCTATCAGGGTGGGTTCTGCTAGGGTGGAAAATAATTTCCGGCTGACCACCTGAAAACCCACCAGACGGAGGCCTTGCTCACCAGCCGCCCGTCTAGTTTTGAGGTCTTTGATAACCTCTTTAACTTCAATCTATCCGCCAGTTGTAGGTCCGGCTGAACGCTGACACCAATTTCCCTAAGTTTGAATGCAAACCGCAGTAATGATTTGCGTTCCTCCGGGGTAGGAAGGACTACGCGAAGTAGTCGGGTCGCGGATTTGGCGTAGCGATAGGGACGTTCCCCAATCTGGTCAGGTCTCTGACGGTGACACCAAGGAAGCGAGATAGAAGCAGCTTGCTGACTCATAGTTTCAGCTACTTGATGTCATACAAGATGCGTTCCCTTGGGACAATGGCCGTTTCCTTGGCGGTAAATTGAAGTCGTTGAGCGTGCTGCTTTATTGTGGGTTTACTTTCAAAGGACAGTTTCGGAAGTGTTTACTACAGTAAAATTGCCCGGGTCCGGTTCTTCTACATCCAACCGTAAAAGAAGCTGCCCCTCCTCCGAGAAAATAGCAGAAACACAAAGGCTCTTATGAATAATGATGCCAACACCTCAACGGCAGCTACAGTAACACAAACTGTAATCAAACCCACAAGGAAAAATACCTTAAGGCTTATACCGAAGATATCAGCAAACTAAACAATATTCGCTTTTCTTCCCTCACCTACTACGTCTTGCTCAACGACTCCAAATAAAAATGGTAATCGAAATCATTCCGCCTCTTCCACAAAGTATTCCCTACCTGGGAAATACAGTACCCAGAGAGAAGCATATGCTTCTGTTGTTGGTCAGTGAACGAAGACAGCGATTGCTGTCTGCAAAGGTAAGGTGTGCAAAGCTACTAAACCTAAGACCCTGGAGTTCTCCTCACGGTTACAGCTTGAACTGGTCTTAGACACGACGCATCAGCTAGAGAACGTTATTGAGGTCTATTCAAACCAAACTAAGCCAAATGGCTCTGCAGGACTTAAGTCCACGTTCGACAGCGCTCGCATTATACTTATGGTCCCGGAATCTGCTAAGGAAATGCCCGCAGAGATAATACTACACGATCAACACCTTTTACAAGACATAGTCGCCCTATAGTTGGACAACGGCGAACCGGGAATCAACATAGTTTCCACAACTCGGCTCGGCAGAAAGCGTGACTCTGCTGAGTTTGCTCCACACAAAGTTGCTTGCCAAGACAAGGCTGAATACCACTGTATCATAAAGCAAACCTTTCGTCTAAAGGAGAAACACTCTATTTTCTGAGTAATCTCTACCCTGTGGATTGGTAAAATGATGCTGGCCACTGATAAGCAGAGAACTCGAAGACTAAAAGACGAGACCGATCTCACTAATGCGGACCTTCAATCTTTGCAGAAGATCTCATGTTTACGCTGAAGGCCGATACTTTCCGTACCTGGATCGTACGATCAAGGCCGATACAGGAAATTCGTGCGATGTCCGCCTACGTGTGCAGCGTAAGAGAAAAAGGGATGAGAGCCACTCCTTTAACTCGGAGGTGCGCGCAGACTTAAGTGCCTTGACTCAGACCTGGAAATCTCCGGAAACCCATGATGTCGAGGAGGCCAGCATTCCGAAGCTGCTAGCATGGAATAAACACTTAGGGTAGTGTTATCCATTGCTGGAAAACAGATCTTACTGCGCACACTATCGAGACGATTCGCGGTAGTGGTACGTAAATGCCTTAATGTGTCGAATTCACGACAAATGCAAACACCTCACAGTCAGCGCAGTTTACAAATCCAATTCCGGTAACAGTAATTGTGATCTGGACTCACTCAAGACCTATGGGATTGGTAAAGGCTGCCTACATCTGGGTGACTTCAATGCATAGGATATTGCTTGGATCTTCTTCACTGTATGTATGTTCCCACTTCTTTGTTTCTGGAATTCTTAGAGTGATCCTAGATGCCAAATTAGCACAAATGTTTCTGGACAGACCAAGGTACTTCCGTGCCGGCCAACACATATCCTCGATATGCTACTCACAACAGCCTCTTCGGACATTGCCGAACTAACTACTCTGTCGCCAGTTGGCCTTAGCGGTCAAGCTAATCTCATCTTCACGTGGACACGATGTTTGCCCCTCATGATCAATGCATCTAACGCCGCAATGTTTAGCGCACCGACCAATCCCACCTTAGAGTGGTGGATGGCAAGCTTGACTAAAATGTGCCCCATGACACCGAAACCGCCTGTGCCTGGACACTTTCGCGCTTCAAAATGAACTTGCTGATTGAACAGGCCGTCCCAAACGACGGCGTTTTGCGAGAGGTCCTCTGGATTTATCTAGAACTACGGATCTTGATGAACCAACGAAGCAATCTGGGGGATAGTCTCAAGTTCTCGTATTTTACCCACTGTATGAAGGTTAGAAACCTCTGTTCTCTACACAAACACGAGAACAAGCTCCATTATGAACGGAATCTGTCTGAGTAATCCCGGTCTAGGTCCAAAGAGCTCTATACGAACATTAACGAAAGGACCAAAGCCAGCTGTGACATACCCGCACTGTTCTCCCATTCAACCTACTCTGTACTGTACGAGGATAAAGCGAATGCGGATCTTTTGACAAGGCATTACTCCTCCGTATCTTTACTAGAAGCTCAGTCTATCAAATGCTTTGAGTCTAAACGTTTCCACAGTCTGCATCAGATGAAGCTCAACACGGTAACTATTATGAAACTCCCGCTAAAGCTAGATGCAAACTCCTCACTGGGCCCTGCTGAATTTCAACCCCAGTTCCGCAAGACAGTAGCTGACTACGTGGCTGAACCCATCAGTCAAGTCTTCCACTTGTCTGAAAAATGACCGTCTACGCATTGACTGGAACACAGGTATCGTGATGAAAAGGCACAATTGCGAGTGTGAATTCTAAATTCTCGATTCTGAGCTATGCTACTGCACATTTACCAGTAGTTCAATTTCTTTATATTTTTCCCGTTGAACGTTGTGGTACTAGAGTTGACCTGTTCATGCACAAATGTTCGGCTTTAACAAACTGATAAAACCCTGCAATTTTTCTGCATTTATTATCTTTTTTTCTTTGCTTAATTGTTGTGAGCTTACGGTTTGCGTCTCATCGGTTGTAATTTGTTTTACTGTGCCAGTTTACGGACTATTCGCCATTTGCGCAGACTTAACTGCTGACGTGGAATAATTGCTGCCCGAATTAGCGAGTCGCATTACGTATTCGTGAGTTAATTGTATTCTTTTTTTGTTTATTACTGCTATTGTAGAACCACGGTTATTCAGTATACTCATTCCGCCCACTGCCCTGCATTTTAACTGCCCAGACCATGAGTTAGTTAGGTGATACAATTAGCCTCATACTCTCTGCCGTAACACAAGTTGAATAGTGAACTCGCGCTCCGATGAACGAATCAAGGAGGCATTCTTTGTCAGAGCATTCACAGCACAGCGAGGATAAGGTAGCTATGACAACGTCTGATCAACTCTCCGTTGCAATGCGTAGAATTGCGGAACTAGAAAGTCGTCTGGAAGCTTTAAGCTTTCATGATGCAAATAAGGTACGTGCTGAAGCAGTTATGCTGGACGGTAAATCGACGCTTGTTCTGCCTGAGTTATCTGGATTTCCCGTGTCTAATAATAATGCTGAAGGCCTCACGGAAAGAGATGGGGGGCGTAGACAGATGGTGTTGTCGGATACGGCGCGGGATTTCGCTCAGTTTCCACAGGTTCGAATCCCGCCGCCTGAGTTCAACGAATTGGTTCCATCTGTGCCGGATGCTATCGCAGGTCTACCAAAAAGGGAAGTTGTACGTTTCGATGGGGATCCGATGAAATATTGGTTGTTTATACGAAGTTTCCAAGCGAATGTTAAGAGTATTACTTCTAACCCTTGTGTGAGACTTCATATCTGATTAATTACTGTGAAGGCCAGGCACGCGAGGCTATTGAGAGGTGTTATATTGGATCCGGAAGAGGGTCTTCTTGATGCCATGTAGACGCTCAAATTGAGGTTCGGCCGCCCTCACTTGATTGCCAGAGCTTACATCGAAAGTCTAGTCAAAGGACCATCGATCAAGGCGAATGATTCGGAAGCGCTCCACAGATTAGCCGGGCAGATGAAAACTTGCTTAAATACGCTGCAACAACTAAATTACGAGGCCGATCTGAACGCTACTGTGACGGTGTCGGCGGTGATTAGGCGACTGCCTTACTCACTTCAGCTCGATTGGTCAAAGAAAGCTACCAGTATCCTCCGCACTTGTAGAGAGCCCGCCTTTAAAGACCTATACCAGTTTGTTTGTGACGTGGCTGAGACTGTTACTACTCAGGCTATGTACTCGAATGAAATCATTAGAAGGACTGAAGGACCCTACACGGCAGAAAGACCTCAAAGCCGTGGCAATCGCATAACTACCTTGGCAACCGGAGGAACAGTGCCGCAGACTCAGAGACGCGCGCCCTCGTGTGTCGCGTGCACAGCGCACCATTACCTTGATCAGTGCCCTCGATTCCAAGCCTTTGATCATTCAGAACGCTTGCTGCTCGTTTCTGGAAAGAGTCTATGTGAACTGTGCCTCAAAGCTAACCACACGTCTGAGCTTTGCAGATCCCGAGTCACGTGTGGATGCAACGGTTGCCAGTTGAAACATCATCCTTTACTACACGAAGCCAAGACGAACCAACTAACTTCACCAAGAGCTGTGGTAAACGAAACGAATGTGTCGTGGGGTCGAATAGCTTTAGGGATTATTCCAATTCTGCTGCGTGGAAAAACCAAGTCACTGGTGAGCAATGCTTTACTTGACCCAGGATCTGATTCGTCACTTGTTGATGAACAGCTGTTGCAAAGGCTTGACTTACCAGCCAGACCGTCAGTGGTACAAATAGCAACGGTTAACGGTGATTCAACGATGTGCTCGCAAGTTGTACGCCTGGAGTTGCAACCGCTGGAAGGAGGTAAATCACTGCATGTGGATCATGCGTGGGCCGTCAAAAGGATGCCTAAGGTACAGAGGATAATACCGGAGCCAGAATGCCTGCGCAGTTGGGAACACTTAAAGGACCTCCCGTTTATCGATGGTTGTGATGAAGGAGTCGGAGTGCTTATTGGCATGAATGTCCCGGAAGCCCACTGGGTGCTTGAGCATCGGTATGGAAAACCGTCAGACCCCTTTGCCATACGAACACCGTTAGGTTGGATCCTGCTCGGTCCGGTGGGGGGGAAAGGCGTAACGAACATTTATG